CCAACTGAAACATCCAACTGATTGAGTTTGACTTCTCCTGCTCACATTCAAAGAGAAACTCGCGCCTCTCATGTGCCCGCCATTTTCGAAATTCCCAAAGATCAAAGTAGTTTCGATTCTCTTATAAACTATACGAGTTATCCTTCTCGTGAACACCATGATCATTAGGACAATGATCTTCTCGTCGTCAACATGCTCACGTGAAATAACACGTGAAAAGAAAAAAATCATTTCGAGTGTTCAGACATGGAGAGCGGTTGTTCCAGATAGACTTAAAATCTAGAACTTACGTCTGATTTTTGAGATTTAGGATATTTAAATGAAAATATTTTCTTCCTAATCCCTGGAACAAATGGTTAATGATTGAAATGCTGAAGCAGGATAGAGGTTACGCGAGACAATAAATGGAGGAAAACCGACCAAACAGGATAGAAGGATAGGATAAACAGTTAACTATGGTGAGCACATCAAAGATTCTGAAATGAACTAACAAGTAATGTTTATGTATCATTGCTAGGTTGGCATGAGGGCATGATGCGAACAGCACTTTTTTCGTAAGGGTAGATAAACACTCGTTTCCAAAACATGTTAGATGAGAAGTGCTGGATTAGCACGGCACAGTAAGCATAACCATTATTGGACCAAACGTTGAGCTCATTTTCAAAATTGAATTATTAATTACATTTAGAAGAAATGACATTTATATAATGAAGTCATATTCGATTTCCATTTCTTGCTTGGTTACTGTTCTTTGCTACTTGATTAACCTACCACATGGTATTTTCGAGTTCTTTGTATTTCGCTCTGAAAATATCTTTTTCTACTTCAATTTTTGTTTTGTGGCTATGATTATCACCTTTCTGAGCAAAAACGAAAAATTCATTCATTTTTAGTTTCTGTCTTCACATCATTTAAATTCTTCTGAAGAATGATGGTTTCCCTTCATCTGTTTGAAGTATCCAACAAAGAATGAAATCATTGTACCGTACCATGAACACTTCTTTGCCTCCGAAAAAGGAGAAGGTCCACGCTCTCTGAATGTTTCTCTCCTGTACATCCTTCTCACAGTTATTACTTTCTCACGTGATTTCAAGAGAGCTGCGAGCTCTCTCAAGGATCGACATCTTCTTTCCACTATTTTCTTTGAATTTTCATTAATAAAGAAGGAAAACACTATTTTTCATGAAAAAGTTCGTGGGCGAACGACGAACATTGGGAATACTCCCTTCGGATCTGCCGGGAAGAAGCGAAGAACGACACTTCAATGTAATACTTCTAACTTATCAAGATTATAATAGCTGAGAGATTCAAAAGAAAATAAGAAAAGTCGATAATCTTCGAGCTCGTTGAGCAAAAAAGGCAAATCTTATCTTAGCCGCTTTGGAACGATAAAAACAAAAATAAAAACGAGTACAATCGGATGTTCTCAATGACAGAAGTTTCCGGACAATACTTTGCCCAGATTAAATTCACGTGCTCTGTCATCTTAACAAGATGAGATGGTTGCATAAGAAGAAATTCAAAAAAAAGTTTATATCGAATATCATTCAAGGGGATTTGAATACAGTAACACATACAGTACAGAGATGAGTGTCATATAATACATTAACTATTCTTCTCATACAAACGAACAGTGTCTGATCGGGCTTTTGCTTGGCACTGAATGAGCATTGTTAACAAGTCGAATGGTTAGAAGAGAACTTGAGTGAATTGATGAAGCTAGATAAAAGGATAAATATGGAGAGAGATCTCGGAACCCGTTTAGACGTAAAGGAATAAGTTGATCAAAAAATCGAAATAATGAAACCTAGAACAGATTTAGAAATCGTTATCGAGACGAAGTAGGAATGGTTTTGTCTGATCAGTACTGGAATGTCGTGCACGTGCTGTTGTCACGATACTGGCTGATGTGCCTGTCAAACTACTCTTCTGAGATGGCACACTTTGCCTATGAGACATAACAGCTCGGCTCACAGACGAAGGCAGAAGATGTGTCGTTAACGTATCTTGAAAAACAAAATAAGTTCATTTAACTTAATGGTTATCATTACCAATTTTCTTGTTCATTTTTTTCTGAGTCAACTTCATTAGTCGCAACCGGAAGTGTTTTGATCCGAGACAGAACAAAATGAAATTTGAAGCTTTGCCACATATGACCAAAGTGCTTAATTGCATGTATTATAATATAGTTTGTAAAATTCAAATTACCTGCATATCATAGTTAAATCATATAACTCATGCTGTTGTAGATGATATGTTGTTCTGATCAAATGTATCAACGCTGATGGTCCGTTGGTTAAGGTGAACATGGTGACAATGAATGTGACAGTCAACGTCACACGATGCTCTGTTTTTTGTAGCAGTTGATTTTCATTTGCTCTTCTTGAACTGAAAAAAAGATTAAATCATATCAATGTTTCTGATCCTGCCGGTATGTTTATTATTCCGTATCTCAGGATAGTTTGTAAGTGAACTGCCTACGTCACATGAAGATTTGTAATTCATTTTTCTGATCAAACAAGAAGAAAAAGATGTTAGCGAAAGAGAGAGCTGGATATTGCAAAGAAAATGAATCTGCATGAAAACAGTTGAATGTACTTCACGTCCAAACATGCACACATGTTATTCATATAGCTACTTCAACTAATTATTAATTGAGATCTTTACTATTTGAATTGGTTGAAGAGACGCTCTCACATGTTTCAAATGGAAAGATTCGGATGAAAGGTCGAAATGGAATATTCGGATGTGGCAGCATGATGTAAATGCATGAACAACGTGAAAGAAGCAAACAAACGACAACGTCTTGGAAGAAGACGACGACGAAAAGTTTTTTGTTGTTGTCCAAATTAACAGCCAAAAATTGAATTGGTCATTGAAATGTTGGAGATTAACAAGAGCTCAGCTTATTTAGAGAATTCGATGTTTGATATTTATAATAACAAAAAAAATAATTTTAAAACCTACTTTTCTGCTTCATTCAATAGCTGTAAATGCTTCTGACGTTTCCTTAGAGCACATAAAAGCATCAGATTAAGAATAGTTAGTAAGACAATAGGAAATATGATCATTAAGAACACATAAATCAGGACCGATAACGAAATTAATTTGCGAAATTCGTGTGAATACGGATTTTCTCGATTACCGAACCAAGCTCTGAAACATTGAGATTATCTTTGTAATCATATAATCAGCTTACTCGCTGGTTACAGGTAAACATCTTGAGTACAATTGCGCATGTTGACAATAAGATCTATAACGAATAGTTAGTTGATGAGCAGACATCACTTCATCAGCATACCTTAGAGGACAGTCATACTCAAAATGCTGGTAGAACGTTGCACAGCCCGAAACAACAACAATCGTTGTTATGAGTGCTGGCAATTTCCATTTTGACCATGTTGAACGAGTATATAATGGACTTCGAATGCCTACAAGTCGATCAGCACAAACGGCGATTACACACCTGCAACATCATATATCTATACTATTATAGTTTATAATGTTGATATTCCATATATAAGTTATATTTGCTCAACCTCACACCCATATTCTCAGATACTTTTCAAAAATTTCCATTTTTCCTCATAATATTTGGGAATATAGGAATATGAAACATCTATATATCTTCTACTTGCACCCCCCATCTCCTTTCCCTCGTTGCCCCTTTTCTTTTAAGATGACGCCCTGATGACGACGACAAATGAAAAGACGAGGATCAATGAAATTTTTTTTCTCCTTCTTCTCAAACATATACAAACTCATTTGTATATTCTATATCTTTCCCTCAAAAACTTTATATAAAAATATATAATCAAAAAGATATTTGCACAACAGACGTCCTACACGTCACTCTGATTCCAAAGTCAGCCGATAATTTACGGATAAATCATCTCAAAATTTGATTTTGTTCAAGTTTATTTGAACTTTGGCGTCATGCTTGCTTAAGTGATTAATCCTTCCTTAAAAGGAAACTTTTCATCAAAATTAATGAAATCTCGTAAAACGTCTAATCTCTACCTCCTCATCGAGAAATTTTTCGGATGAAGTTCATACTTTGATCTTCTTTCACTATTCAATTTTGAAAGTTTATTGGAAAAATCTAATGAGAAGGAAATATCTGAAGATTCAGAAGATTTGTGTACTTGGCTTTTAGCTTATCTAGGAAGGTTGCGAAAAAAGCTAAGAAAGCGATTTCAATAGATGAAAAGGCTATTGGAAGGACCAAACTGTGTAGGAGACGACATGAAATAGAAGTAGTTTTTAAGCTTTCTTCTCGCTCTTTCCACTCTTATGACAATGTGGTCAATAGGGCAAAGAAGGAAAAGAAATTTTTTCAAAAAATAATTCAAAAATCCGAAGATAAATGACGAGCGCTGTCAGATGGCAAAAAGGTGATAGATGACATAGAGATATTTGAAAGATAAAAGCCTTACCAGATGGCTACAGCTGAACACCAATTGGCTAATGATAGCAAATGAACTTTCGTATTAAAGTAAAACCATCGAAAATAATAATTGAAAGTAAAAAATTCATAATTAGCCAATATATTTGGAAACAGCAAGGAGAGGAAGATGATGTCCGCAAATGCTAGCACAGACAAGAAGCTGTTAGCCCTGAAACAACAAAATTGTTTTCTGGATAAGCCACTCTGCAGCTTTTATGGAGTTCCCTAATTGAATCTCTCGTCATAACTTACCGACTTCTCATGTTTCTGTTTAATAAAACAGTCAAGTTTAGAAAGTTACCAAATATTCCAATGACGGCCAAGCACGGGTAAACATATCTGTTGTTATCATTAATAATTCCATATATGGAGGTTGAATAAAAAAACCTTTGTAGCATGTACTCCAATTCAGTTCCATGAACTCTTTGTTGGGTATCAGTTAGACAAATTTGAGAAAAGTTCGGTTGTACAGCCATATCTGAAACATAAACCACCTTGAATCGAGATGAGCCAAAAAAAGCAGACGACGAAGCAAAAGAAGAAAGCGAAGAAGAAGAAGAAAAGAAGGAAATAGATACTCACATGAGGCTAACTGAGCAAGTCATAAGTTGAGCTTCATTTACAATAAGAAATCGAAGTCTTTGAAGAGTTTTAACTCAATTTTTCAATTACGAACTGAAGATGCGCAAAACTGATAAAAGTGTTGGAAGTGGCAGATTTTGATGTTAAAATTCTGCCACAAAGGGGAAAAACATAAAAGAAAACTCAATTTCGATCATTCAAACAGAAGGAAAAATGAAGATGAAGCTTAGCCTGTTCATATGGCTGAATAATTCGCGAAAAAACGCCATTCAGATCATTTAAGCTTCAACCTTATGCTCTTCACCTCATGTGGTTCTGAATTCTTTACGATAAGCCTAATTCAGAATTTTAAAAAAGGTAAAATGAGGTGAGAGATGAGTGTTCGTAGAGAGGCGAGAAAACAAAAGAAGAAATGAACGTAAAGACAGATAACCTGCCGTGTCAAAAAACGAGATAAAGAGGTTGTGAGAGAAAACTATAAAGAGAGAGTGAATGGTGAAGGCACCACCAAACTGGCCACCCTTCTGCACCATACGGGCCGCCCATAATGACAATTGCCATAAATGACTTTTGGTTGAACGGATAATGCTCTCAACGTAATGTGAAAACAGAGAATTCGCAAAGAAGTTGACACGATTCGGTGATGCTTAGCAGGATTCCTCTGAGATCATGAAGCGAAAAGTACAATCAAATTAACAGATCGTCATGTTGTAAAGAAAGTGGAAGAAGACGGAGGCTTCTGATGTGTGCATGTGTTGTTCTGGCAGGAAATCACCAGAAATGAGAGAAGCATCACGTTGATGAGCAATCGAATGACAGGAACAAACTTAGAAAAGCAACCGTTCTTCTATTTTCAAATTCTCAAATGATGAATCCGTCAAGCAGGCAAGTTCACGTAAAGTTCACGGGAAGTCCACGTCAAAAGCCGTCAAAACGTAATATCCTCAAAGTTTAAATACGGCATCTAGCGGCGAAAACGAAAAAGGTGCGCTGGCAAACATCTCTAGGTGTGGCAGAGAGGATGATTTATAAAAAACCATAGATAAAGCTCGAAGTTCAAAAAGGACGATTCAATAGAGAAATGTGAATAAGGCAACGGGAAAAGAGAAACTAAGAATAGAAGAGATGGTAGAGAAGAAGAGAAACAGTAGGCGGATCCATTATTTTCATTTAGAACAAATGGTGTGGGAGATAGCCTAAGGGTGAATTGTACGATCTTTGTTTAAAATCAAAGAATTTTAGGAGAAAAATTTGCTTTCAGTTTCAATCTTTAGGCCTTCTGTAAACTTATAGCAAAGACGACATTAGCATAAATGAGAGAAAGAAGAAGGAAATGAAGACTTCGTCGCAACAGAACGAAAAAGATTTTTTTATATTTTCTCTTTCTCTTCATTTTTCTTTTTCTTCTTCTTCTCTTTTTTTAAACTTGTCAAAGCTCAAATTGAGAGTAATGCGAAGGAGAAATAAAAAAGTTGCTGAAATGGGCATGCACGGAGAGCATGGAGTTAGCTCGAAATCGCATTGTGATAACAACTTTCAGATGAACGATGATAAATTGCTCTTCTCCTCCGTGTGAAGAGTTATTGAATTTCCAGCATAAAAAAAAAGGCGGCAGAGATTTTTGAAACATTTTCAAAATAAAATAGAAAAACAACCAAAAAAGACATTTTACGGACGACAGTGAGAGTGACGCCAACTTTCCAAGATTTCCAGTGTTTTTTCCCGCTGCCCCATAAGCCACGCACCACCATCATCACCAGTAGCAGTAGCAGAAGCAGCAGAAACTGCAGTTTATGTTATTTAGAGGATGAAAAAAGAAAACACAAATGTTCCTCACCCATCCCCAAGGATTTTTGATAAATTAACATAAAAGAGTACATATTGACTGATGTTTGGATCATCAAGCTTATTTCATATTTAAAAAAATGTTTTTCTCTATTCACACTGAATTAACGTCGAACAGAAAGATGACCGAATACGGGAGTAAGGTGAAAAGTTTAAAAGATACTAAAGAGGGTAAGAGAGGGTAAGAGAGGGAGAAGTGGAAAGGATAAACTTGAATGATATACTTTACTTTATAATATTTTGGAAAAGAAGAAAAAAAAAAAGAAAAATAAATAGTCTGTCATTTCAGTAATCCGTTAGAACAACCGCTCTTCAATCTGCGTACATGGCTAAATGAAATTTCGGCGTCTACGTCAACTTCACCCGTCACGCAATAAATGTGATAACAATATCAAATTAGCATACTATATTTATATATATATATGAGTGTATAAAAGTAATTTACATATAAATAATGCATTTTTCTTATTGTGAATGAGAGAGCTTAGCCACATCAACCGACTGAGGTAATGTACACATATGGTCACTAACCAACAGATCTTACAAATGCATGAGGTGAAATGGATAATTTTAATTTTTTTCATTTTCAGAAAACAAAAAGCGAAGGAGCTTTCCTTCATATTTCCGTTTTTTTCTTTCTTCAATAGAAATGACTTGAAACCATTGTTTTTTGTCTTTTTTTTTGAAACAAAATTATAAGAAGAAAGCCGAAGCAAAATGATTAAGTTCGGAAATAGGAAGCTTATTTTTAAGCTGCAACTAATGACTTTCATAAAACGTTAATGAGAAGGTTCTCATTATGCATTTTTTAAATGAATGTCAAATACTCTCCTTCGCTCTTTATTTTATTTTTTTTTTCTGCTACCACTGTCTTCAACCAGGAACTTTCCTCTTTGAGTTATTCTCTGCTTCTCATCATTGTCTAGGCCATGATGATGATGTTCGTTCTCAATCCACTCTAATCTTACATGATCTCTTTTTTTTCTTTCTCTTACTCTCTCTCTCATCATACCTCTACTTCAAACGAAATGAAAGAATAGAGATGAACAGAAAAAATATAGAGGATTTTCAAAAATTCATTCGAGATTTTCAGAAGGATGTGAGAGAATGATCAAAGAAGTAGAAGCAGCTTCACAGAATGTCAGTTTTTAATTCCATTACAATTGAACTTCTTTTTATTTTTTTTCAACAAGCGATTCGAATGAAACTGAATAGAGAGATAGAGAGTGATTGTAAGAGAGTTAAAGAGAGAGAGGAACAAACATCAGAAAAGAGAGAGAGAGAGACAAAAAAAAATGAAAGAAAGCTTGTTTAGAATATAGAATTGTCAGTTACGTTCCTACCACACTCTCATTCGATTACTTGTTCTACTCTCTTATCCTCCACAGATATTCCTTCCTCTATCTCACTACCTCTCTCTCTCCCTCTTACTTTCTATATCGTCCTATCAAACTACTCTTCGAGCCATTAGCTTCTAGTAAGAAATCGAAAAACAAAGACATCAAAATTTTTTTTCGAAAATCCTTGTTTATGAAAATTATCCTTCGAGTTGAGTGAATACAAACGGATTTCTGTATTCAACAATCTGTTTATGAATGTCATCGTTTATTAAGAAATAGCAGATCAGATACGCAAAAACAAAGAAAGTAAGAGAGATAGAGTAGTCGCTGATAGGACTCAAGCGCAATGAACAGTATAATCAAAAGGCAAATCAAAAAAAATTTGAAGAAAATGAAAAGTTATAAAAAGAATTTTCAGCTTAAAAGAGATGTGAATAACAAAGAAGAAAACGACTAAAGGGCTCAATGATTGCCTAAGAAAGCTGAAGAGGTTAAAAAGGAAAAGGAGAGCCATTGAATCGTTTCGAAATAAAAACAAATTTTTATTCATTTTTCGCTTCTATCACACTCAATGAATAGTTAGTATAAGAAGAGAAACTTTCATCAAATAAACTTCAAAATAAAGAAAGAGTCTTACTTAATCAACGAAACAATATAAATATAAAATAGCCTTATATAAATAGGCTGAAATTTCAAACATCGTTCTTGAGAGTTCCAGCCCTCCCTTTTATACGAAATTACTTTCTCTAAATCCTTCTTCAACAACCGCTCTCCATGTCTGAACATTTTGAAATGAAATTCAAATGATTTTTATCTTTTCACGTGTTATTTCACGTGAGCATGGTTAAGACGAGAAGATCATTGTCCTAGTGAACATGGTGGTCATAGAAAGGATAACTCGTATAGTTTATAAGAGAATCGAAAACTACTTTGATCTTTCGAAATTTCGAAAATGGCGGGCACATGAGAGGCGCGAGTTTCTCTTTGAATGTGAGCAGGA